TACATACACCATACTATTTTTAAAATTAACTAAGATAAAACACAGTTAATAAGATTAATATTTTAAAAATATAAGTTCAATCAAATTTTTGGGAACAATAATTTACTAGACTTTTAATATTAGTTAATTTTTTAAACTACTCAATTTTATACAATATGACTTTGTTTAAATTTGACAGTAAAATATTGTGTTTTAAAAACATTATCAGTGTACAGAATTACATAGAAAAAATATATAATTGTAATTAATTAGTAAACATGATTGTGGTAGAATATTTCATTATAAAACAATATTGATGTAATTTTAATTTTCAGGAAAGATAAATTACCGCCTTAAAAAAAGAGAGATTGTTTACTTTTTATATTAAGAATTCATTTGAACAACATTAATAATTAATCATATTAGAAATGTTTGAAGAAAATTTTTAATTGTCAAAATAATTTTTACATTGTAGTTCCAAATTAAAAAAAAAAAAAAAAAAAAAAAAAAAAAAANACACATTAAGAAATATTTTTTATGTACAGATATTTTGACTGGTACTTGTTTTTATTCGGCATCGCCATTTTTTTCGCATGTTTTTAGCTGCAGCATTTTTGTAACTACAAATCATTGAAGACGACTATTTTACGCGTCATTCATAAAAAGGCGGCATACATTTTCATCCATTTAGATTTGGCTTTATTTCGCTATTCTGGCGCACACGCTTAAAATTTTTTGCGGCAGTCGATCTTGAACTGATAAGAGTGTGAGCAGGTGTGTGAGGCAGGGGGCCTCACACACCTGCAGATAATTATGGGGTTAAACTCAGGTAGGTACTTCCGAGGATGGATAGTGATGTAGCCAGAATTTCAAATTCAGAACAAAAGTAAAATTCGTTGATAGAAAAAAAAATTTTTTTGGAGAGGGCCAAAGGTAAGCAGTTTTGAATTTTAAAAAAGAAAGAAAAATTACAGGTTTCTACAGAATAATGTGCTCAAAAACTTTAAAAAATTAACGTTTTCATTTATTTTATAAATTCAAAATGACGCCTTTTTTTAAGAATTTTTTTTTTTATTCTAAAACTATATTGCTGCAGTTAAAGCAAGAACTAGGGAAGGAATGTTGCGACTTTCTCGAGGTAGCGAGGGAAGGGGGTGGAGGGAGTTGTGATTTGCTTATTTTTGGCTGACAAGACAGTGGGGGTATTAGAGTCAGGTGCTTTTCCAGAAGGGTGTCAAATTTTTAAAAAGGACTGACAGTAAAAAAAAAAAAAATTTTAAACTAGTTTCATTCATCAGGGCTTCTTCAAATAGAAATTGAACGGAATAATTGCTTCGCACATTTCAATCAATTTTAAATTGGCGACATCGATGAATGTCCTTAGAAAAAATGCTCGTCATTCCATCAGATAAGTGCTATAGAAACTACATCTGTCACGTTTGAAACGGAATAGTATAAAATCTTATAGTATAAAAGTTTCAAATTCTTATTGAATGTACAATATAACAATCTAATAAATGAATCACTCAGAAACTCAGTCTTCGAATCATTTTAAACTTACCCCCTTCAATCTGAATATTATAAAATAGTGATTACACTGAGTTTTTTCTCCGGGCGATGTGTTACACCTCCAGACTTTGAAATAACATACACATAAAATAAGGATAGTAAACATTTATTTTTCAAAAGTTTAAATTTCAAGAGTTGGAAAGACATAATTCAAGAATTTATTGATTAAAATAAATGCATTTTCTTATAATATGAATCCCATATAGCAAAATTAAGGTTATCACTCAACAGAAACCTTTTAAAGTAAACCTAAAAAGGTTAGTCATACGGTTTACGTGTAAACCTTCTAAACTTAAAACGAGATCTGCTCTATTCTACTCACATGACCCTCATCCAAAACCATGGAAAAAAATCTTATACAGTACAGAACCTGTTATCCGGAAATCAGAAAACCGGAACCGAAAAACCGGAATTTTCTCGCCATTTTTAAAAAAAAAAATTTTTTTTCCTCGTAAGATTTTACAATTTTTCTTTCATTTTTTAAAGATGTTTACCTTACCATCATTTTGGAAATAATCATTAGTGTATTACTTCATCGTTTTTTCTTATTTTTAAGATTATTTCCAAATTTTGTTTTTTTTTTTAGTTGGGTTTAACAATAAAAAAAACGGCTTTTTGTAGCGATTCAGAAAACCGGAAAAATCAGTTATCCGGAATAGCGATGGTCCCGACCGTTCCGGATAATCGGTTCCCTACTGTATATAAAAACCTTATATCGAGGTCGACTTAGGGTTTTCAAGCGTTAAAAAATCATTTCATAAAGCTAGTCTCCAGGTGAAAACAATCTTACATCCAGGTCTTTATAAGGTTTCTTTTCGCAGTCTTGCATGCTCAGCTAAAATCCACCTTGTCATAAAATTTTAACAGACAATGCTATTTGATTCTATCGCTAGTATGACGTCAGCTAAATTGGCATTAAATGACACTACTTTTTTTTAAAAAAAAAACATTAAAAAATAATTTTTAATTCCTTTAGGATGAAAGGTTTAAAACTGCAATATTTTTGCTTTATTGAAAAAAGGTTTTTAGTGCAAACATTTTTGTGAGAATAAAAAGAAAATTCCGACACATTAAAGTTACGTGCTTTGTGGGAATGCTTCTTTGGAAGTTCATTCGTTCAACATCCATTTGGTGGGAGGTTTTGGAGTGACTTTCCTCATAGCCCTCGGAATGACATTGTTTTCGTTGCAGTAGGGTGGTTCGGCCCAGGTGTCTAGGTAGAGGGTGTCCTCTGGACCTACTCCGGGCACATGTCCCGCTTGGATCCCCATAATGGCCACAGGTGAGTTGAACTCCGTGCACTCTCCCCTTTCAAAAGCTTCGTAACTCTTGCACTTGACAGCCCTGAAGGTGCAGTCCTTACGACGGAGGGATTCTGACCATAGAGTGTTGGATCTAATATGATCGCAATATGTCTCCGGAAAATCTTTCATAACTATTAAAGAAAAGGCATATTACTGACAGATGATGTGTGTCTATGCTAAGAGACAATGGTTTTCAGAATATTCTTATGCCCCCACACTATAGTTTTATATATGTTACCGGCAAAGTATGAAACGTCCGGCATTATATAGAATGCCTAGGCATTCTATATAATGCCGGACGTTTTTAGGCAAAGTATGAAATATGCGAAGTATTACATACATTCCCTAGGCATTGTATATAATTTCCAGGCATTGTATATAATGCCGGATGCTATTTAGGCAAAGTATGAAATAAACGTCCTGATGACGTTATTATGTAAATGATGTGCATGCAAGTAAGGATGACGGGTCACTGTTTTGGGGTGGTTCGGTCTATTGTGTTCTTCTTAGAGTACCCTCTCTAAAATGCGCCATTCTTGTTTCAAAAGACAGCCTCAGACTTAGCTTAGACAAACTATAAGCTTGTTCTAATTGTTATGGGTAGACCTCTTAGAAAAGTATGATCTTCTAATTTTTTTTTTTTAAAATTGAATATCCTCGATATACAGGATCTTTATAATTAAAGTTCCACTTTGAAATGGCTATAAAAATTAAACTACCCGACCAAATGTCATCAAACTTGGTAAATGTCTATAAGAGGTCATGGGATTTTAGTTCCCAAAAAAAAAAAATCGTTCAAAAATTCACCACCAGCGGAGAATGGCGCTGTATGCAATAGTGTTAAACAAATGTGAAATATGCAAATTTGTTTTACACGTCATGTGACTTTGCAGTTATAAAAGTGAGGCGCCTTGTCTGAGCTGTCAGTGTTCTGAGTCGACAATGTCTGTTACCATGCAAGACCGTGCTTTGCTCGTGAAATGTTACTATGAATGCGACAGCAATGAACGGAGGGCTTGACAAAAATTCCGTACTGTAAGAGGAAAACGCCGAGGTCCAATGGCACCGCAAGGTTTACGGCAAATTTGCGGTGAAAGACGTGTAAAACAAATTTGCATATTTCACATTTGTTTAACACTATTGCATACAGCGCTATTCTCCGCTGGTGGTAAATTTTTGAACTATTTCTTTTTTTTTGCGGGAACTAAAATCCCATGACCTCCTATAGACATTTACCAAGTTTGATGACATTTGGTCGGGTAGTTTTATTTTTATAGCCATTTCAAAGTGGAACTTTAATTATAAAGACCCTGTATATGCCTTATGTATCGAAACCCACTTCAAAAAATTATGGAAAAAAAATTTAATCTATTTGAATTCGAATTTTAAAATAATTTTTTTTGATTGTTTTTTTTTCTCTTCAAAATATAAATAAGTTACTGTTGCCTACATTTGAGAAGTCATGTTAAAAAAAATGATGCATTCTTATTATCAGAGGCTTTGTTCGACCCACAAAGTGTTAATCTATTTTTATTCAAATCAAGGAATGAAACTAATTCTTTGTCGGTGGTGAAACCAAAAGCTGATTGTGCCACTGAGGCCCCATCATGGAAAAAACAAGTAAGAAAAAGCAATTAGAAAAATTTAAATGTAAATACAAAGATAAATAAATGACGAACAATCACTTTAAAGTAGGTAAACTAAGACATAGTAAAGAGACGCCCACAAATACGAAAAATAATTAAAAATAAAGTTACTATTTTTACTCACTAACAATAAATAAAACCATTAGAAAAATCCATCCTAGTAGCCATCATAGGCGGTGAAAAAAGTATGATTTTGTTGACTATTATTCACGAAGTGCATCATGAAGAAGAGTTTATTGCTTACCACCAAGACTTAGAAATAATTTTCAAATACTGTTCATTTAATTTCCATTGAAAGCAAATGAATTTTAAAATCCAACGGTTTTTTTAAGAGAAAAAATTAACAACTAGACACCCGGAAATGATAACACTCATCGGAAAAATGTTTACAAAGCCTTCTTTAAAGTTGAAAGGTCAGATTTCCTACATTGACTTTTTTCGAATCGAAAGTGTGTGAAATGGGTTACTTATTATGAAAAGAAAATTAACATAAAACAAAAATAAATTCAAAATGTGGCAAACTTGAAGCGACGAAATTTGTTTTTATACATTTTGTTATCAGCAAAGGTAAAATTTTATTTTTCATTTCCAATTTCTGAAATCGAAAATAAATTCTGCTGTTTCAGAAAAAACATCGATATACATTCACTCCTATTGAGTTGGGAATTCAAAAACTTTTTTTTTCTGCAATGCTCAACACATAAAATAATAAAAGCGGTGTAAAAACATAATAATTTGAAATTGTTATCTTTTAGAATTTAATAAACCATCTTTTTCGTTCGAATTTAAGGTTTAATTCATTAAAATATCCAGTTTAATTGATTTAGAGCTAAACCTAAACATTCACAACTATGCAAGAAGAGCAAAGTGAGGATATTTAATAAGTAAAATAATTCTTATTTTATTTAATAAGGAATGAATAAGCATATATATTGTATGGGTTTGAAAGCAATTTAATATCATGAGTGGAAAACTCACAGAGAGGTGAACTGTTGGGTTTTGACATTATTTTGAAGAATGATTTACGATAATAATTTTTTTTTAATAGTTTTCAAATTTTGTAAAAGTGGTCACGTGTTTTCAACACTATTAAAAATGATTCTATTGATCCCTGGACAATCGAATAATTTTCAAATTTAGCCCTTTTTATAAAACAGAAAAAAACGAACCAGTTATTTTTGATAACAGATATCTCTTCCCTATACTTACAGTTAATAACAGGGACGGTATTTTCCAGCAAAGAACATCCAGGCTGCCTCCTCGCGTTATTCACAAAAAAATTCTGGTGTCCACATTTGCCAGCATCCAATTCTGCAAGACACAAAAAAATATTAATACTCATTGTGTCTGTTAAAGATGCTCGCTCATAACTTGAGCACTGATTCGAATAGTTCTCAAGGGATGGTTTGTGCACAGAATCAAAAATAGAAATTTCATGAATGAAAACCACTGTTATAGATTAAAACGTGAGTTGTTTGTAAAATAAATATTTAAAAAACCATTGTTCTTTAAGCTCACTAAGCTCATAGTTTAAACACAGTTGCAAAGCGTGCTAGAAACAAATATGCTGGCTAACGTAACTTATTGAAGAGTCAGTGCAAATGCGCATCCTTAACTGCATTTCAATTTACGGGATTATAAACTGAGATTAAATTCCAATACATTTTAATATCAACTATTAATAGTAATAATCAATCGTTCACATCTTTTTTTCTATCACAAATTTTAAATTGCTCAAACTTAATATTATTATCCTTTACTAGTGGGCTGCGCCCCCTGCTCGCTGTTGAAACAAATTTGATGAGTTCACATCTTTAATTTAATATTTTCGCTTGCCAAACGGTAGGATATATTAAATACTTTTTTTTTGCCTGCATCTCATTGTGCATGAAGCTGATCCTTAAGTTCTAAATCATTTAACAGATCTCTTTAACTGTAATTTATAACAGTATATTAATGTTATTTGCTCAAAAATAATAATTGTTAGATCACCTTTCTAAATAGCTTTATCTTAAAATTTAAGGCAGATTTACATTATAATACTAATAAAAAAACAGCAATTCTCTTAGTTTTAAACTCTTGAATTAAAAGCGTAATAATAGCAGTACAGGAAAATAACTTTAAGTTAGGGATTCAAAAATATTTATAGAAAAGCATGACTTTTATTAATTTTATACTGACTACAACCAAAACAATAAGGAGACGAATGAGGAAAAACTGGATCACACCACGTGATTTTCTGGCCACTAAAAATGCACCAACAACAATGAAAAACTACGACACCATCATTAGAATTTTATATATAGTCCTTTAAATACTTTATAAGACAACGCCATCAGGTTCTGATTTACACAAGTCTGATTCACAATTTTTTTTTTTTATAGTTAGCGTACGTTGTGTTTAAATAACAAAAATCACTACCCTACTAAACGAACACGTAACAAAGAAAAACGAAATGCATTCTAATTTGAATTTATTATACTTACAGATTATCTCGATCTGTACGAATTAAAATCTCAAAATGCTTGAAATTCCACTCATTAAAAAAGGCAGTCACCGAAGGCGGCTAGTTTTTCATTAACACCTCTCATTAATATTGTAATTTATTTCGAATAAAAGGTTTCATACATAGCATGCTATCCTTCTTATAAAAATATTATAAATATTTCTGAGGTTAAAAAGGCAAAGTTTTTCCATTTAAACTTTTATATATGTGTATCTAACGTCGTTGCCGAGTGGAAGGATTAAAACAGGTCATAGGCCGGGAAGGAGGGTACAAAATTTATTTATTAATTATTAGACAGAGCAGTCGTGAAAGTGTGTAAAAGTGAACAAGAAAAGTTGCTCTCCTTGGTTATATGTTAGGGAAAATCTTGTAAAGTAAATCCGTAAAATGTTTCAATTTAGGGAAAGAGGGAAATCTTAGTAGTTGCTATTGGTTTAGGAAATAGGTCGAACGTTTCCCACAGAGAGCAAAGGGAAAAATGTCCTGCTTTTAATTAAATGCATACTTGAGCCAAAAACAGATTTAAGAACAGGATGTGGCTTTAGAAAGTGTGAGAAAGTATTTCGATTAGAATAATTAATTAGGATAACATAAAAAGATTAATACAGTCAATTCGCTATAACTCGAA